GTGCAGACGCTAGTACGCATGCGTGCACCGCGTGCGTGCACGAGGACGCCGCCGGCCCCATTCCAACCGAACCGGTTGGAACGGGGCGAGAAACCCACCCCTGGCATATACATATGCAAAATGAAATGACTGAATTCATGCAAACACTAAGCACAAATCAAACAAAACCACACAATGCATGACCACAGGTATAGATTTAAATGGAAACTAGAAGAACTACAATAGGGAATGGCGTCAAGGTTCCAGATAGCATCCTCAATCAAATAAGAGCCCGAGGCTAGATATTCCTCAAATTTCCAATTTATTAAAGAAGCCAAGCTGGCACATCTGGGAAAACCCGAATCTGAAAGCTTCCAGGTTTTCCCCCACCCAGTTGAAAGTTCAAGACCCTGCCCAGGGTCCATCCCATGGCCATCGCATAGCCTAATCAGTCACTGTCACGAAGGAAGATTCCTCCCATCCAGGTCAGTCCAAGTGCAGGGACAAAGCGACCTTAACTCTCTGCAAAAGAATGTTATTATGGCTACACATCTCCAAGGCTCATACACTCCCTCCTCCCAGTTTCCCACAGTAGAATATGTTTGAATATGTGGCAGGCTGGAGGCCCAAACGACAATGCAACCTCTGCAGATATAGATAGGAAGATTGCTGGGGGAGGTAAGGAGGATAACCAGGAAGGAAATCCCCTAAAAGTTATTCATTGCAGGAACACAGTCAGAGCTGGAGGGTGGCTGAACTCAAACAAAGCCTTGTCCAAATAAAGGGTTTTTTATTTTATGTATCAACTTTTTCACATGAAATTGCCCTGGGCTTTGCAATCTGAGAGCCTGAGGACATTTATTTTGGGAAGTCCTGCAGCGAAGCCGGAATTGCAAAGACGAAACAAACAAAAAATTCTAACCACTCCCCGCCCCACCCTGTGTGTGATGCAAGAGTGTAGCTCTGCAGAGCTCGTGGGCAAATGATTTCTGCAAATGTATTGCTTCATTTCTTCTCCAGGGCCTGTAGATGAATCTGCTTTTATTAGTTTGGAAGGCTGCACCACAGCATTCATGGAGGGTTGAAGGCCACAATCCAAAACAGTAAAACCAAGACGTGTTTGGGGCAAGGAAGCTTAAGAGGGGAAAATGGGTGTCCTTATGTTTGTGGCTCAGTGGCTAAGGCGCTGAGCTTGTCAATCAGAAAGGTTGGCAGTTTGGCGGTTCGAATCCCTAGTGCCGCATAATGGAGTGAGCTTCCTGTTACTTGTCCCAGCTTCTGCCAACCTAGCAGTTCGAAACCATGTAAAAAATGCAAGTAGAAAAATAGGGACCACCTTTGGTGGGAAGGTAACAGCGTTCCGTGAGGAGCATCGACCCCTCTAGTCGGGAACGACTAGCACATATGTGTGAGGGGAACCTTTACCTTTATGTCTCCGTATTTCACTCCTTTACATCTCCAGATTCCTCTCCAAATATAATCCAAAGACTGAAAGTTTTGGCCCACCTGGAATTTTGCACTTTATCGATTGGAGGCTCAGTTGATAAAGAGCAACACGCACAAGGGTTTTTCTGATGTTTCCTTTCCTTAGCCAGCAACTAGTGGAAATGCATGGAGCTTGGATATATTTCCCTGTGTCTTTTCCTCTGGTGAAATGTGACTGGCGAGTGAGGGGGAAACAGTAGCATTGTGGAACTACCCACTTGCCATTTGAAAAGTTTTGCGTTTTGTTTAGAACTTACCACTTCCTTTTCCTTTCTTCAGCTACTGCTGCAGCCACTGACCACGGTCTAAAGACTTTGAGAGAGAATCTGATTGCAAATTTATGAGAGATCGTACCACACTGCTTTCAATGTGGTTTTTTAAAAAAATGCAAATGGCTTAGCAGCCAGGGAACTTTCCCTTGTATAAATTCTCAGTTGTTTTCTTTTTTTATTATTAATATTTTTTCCCCAGTATAAACATACATATTTTGTGCACAGTGCATTGACTGGGTCAAGTCTTTCTTAAACTTTTATTATTGAACGTTATCAATAATAATACAAGTTCTAATCTTCCAACTTCAACAATACTAGCCTCATTTCATATTCCTTTTACATTTTCCCGTTAATTCATTTAAACATAAATAACACTTCACTGCACCTTGTGTTTGTTATCCCTCACTAAATGTTATTATTCAATATTTTAAAAATCACTCATTATTCCACCATAGCATCAATCCCAGAGGATATATAAGCAAAAGGAGCGAAAGGGGAGTGGAGTTTGCAGGAGACAATTAGTTCGCTTAATTGGTTCGTGACTCTCTGAGACTCCTTGCCAAGTTTTGTAGATATCGGCCTGGCAGCTCTCCAAGCTGGATAAGGTCTGTGACTGTGAATCCTCCCTTGAAAGAATTTGCTGGAGGTGAATGAGCAGAATTCACAGTCAATTATTAAAAGGGTCAGGGCAAGGAATTTGCTTCATTCTCTGGGGAAGCCTAGGTTAGAACAGGAATAAGAAATTATTTAGTGGTTTGCTAAAGGCTATTTCATTTACGTTGGCAGCTAATCGGTAATGCTTGAGATAGTAACAAGTCTTGTCCTTACCCCCTGCAGCCCCAGGAAACCAGAAACATTCCTGATGCCAAAAGATTCAAAGAAGATTGCAACAGGTAAGTCAATGGAAGTGTCAAGAAGAACAATTTTGTTATCTCTTCCATTTGTTCCTAAGTTGGTTGTTTCTGGGTTGAGAATGGAAGAGTGCTAGAGTGTGTCTGCACCAAATCCAGGCAGTGATGGAGAACCTTTCCGGCACCGAGTGCTGAAAAGTGAGCACTTCACATGCACTCGTCTGCGCTGTGACCTGGAGGAGAACTGCCCAGGGAGAATGCGCGGGCCGGAAAATAAACTCCTGGTTTCCAACGTGTTCATCAGTGGTGGGATTCAAATAATTTAACAACTGGTTCTCTGCCCTAATGACTAGCTGGGTAGGCGTGACTCGGTGGTCATGTGACTGGATAGGCATGGCCAACTTGACATCACACGTCAATGGGCGCTTCGTCTTAGCTGTTACAATGTAATAAGGGTTAACCGGAGGGACAGTTTTTGTAAGCAGGGCAATCAAGATTAGGCTAGAAACAACACCAGAATGTTGCCTTCCTGCCTTCCTTACAGGATTAGCCTTGTAAAGTGGGGAGAAAACAAAAGATTTCTTCCAACAACCAGTTCTCCCAACTGCTTAGGAAGTTAACAACCGGTTTTCCCGAATAGGTGCGAACTGGCTGAATCCCACCACTGGTGTGCATGCGTGTCGGCCAGTCTTCCGGTTACTGCTGCGCATGCTCACACACCAATCAGCTGGCCAGAGCGCATGCTCACGCCGGAAAACGGAAGACCAGCTCTTCTGGTTTCTGGCACTGCCACACACACAAAGGTAGCTGACTGTCGTGCTTGCATACATGCCAGAAACCCAGAAGAGGGACAGGCAACACCGTGCGTGCCAGTCAATATGGCTCTGCATGCCACTTTGGGCACACGTGCTATAGGTTTGCCATCACGGCCCTAAGGCATCAGGTGCCCACAATGAGGTAAAGCAGAATGCCAGATGAGATAGGTCTTTGGATCTGTTCCAATGGAGGATTCCTATCTCTAGGCTGCCCTTTATGCGGGATTTTATTATCGCTTTCAGGAAGTTTTAATTCATAGTTTATCATGAGGACTAGACACCCGCATTTCAAGAAGAAGAGCACGGGGAAAAGCTTTTAAAAAGGAAAGCTCTCAATGCTCAAGGCTAGCTTTTAAGTTAAGTGAAATCTCTTCATTTTGCTAGCTCTGGAAATTATCTCTTTGTTTCTGGAAATAAACTCTTCATACCATATGTGTGCTGCTGTTCCTTTCAGATGCTTAGGTTCTCTTTTTTAACTGAAGTGGCACAAAATAACACATGTTGTGGTAAACAAACCAAAGAAATAAACTAATATTTCCCCTTGCAAAAAAGATAGTCCCGCCCTCAGGTTTGCAATTTGAAGAGATAACCCTGCCAAGGAAAAAGGGATGGGGAAGAAAGAGAGGAATCTTCACAAATCAGAGATGACCCCATTCCCTTCTAGTACCTCTGGGCTAACCCCGCTCTAAAGGGATGCGGTGACTTAGTGGCTAAGACACTGAGCTTGTCAATCAGAAAGGTCGGGAGTTCGGCGGTTCAAATCCCTAGCGCCGCATAACGGAGTGAGCTCCCATTACTTGTCCCAGCTTCTGCCAACCTAGAAGCATGTAAAAATGCAAGTAGAAAAATAGGGGCCACCTTTGGTGGGAAGGTAACAGCGTTCCATGCGTGTTTGGCATTTANCTCTAAGCGGTTTACAGAGTCAACATATCGCCCCCACAGTCTGGGTCCTCATTTCACCCACCTCGGAAGGATGGAAGGCTGAGTCAACCTTGAGCTGAAGTGAGATTTGAACCGCTGAACTGCAGATAACAGTCAGCTGAAGTGGCCTGCAGTACTGCACCCTAACCACTGCGCCACCTCAGCCCTTAAAGCTGAAGTGACAGGTGTCTATGGAAATTTTCAGTCATCCAGGTCATGGATGCTTTTTCAATAGGCAACTGGACTTTCTGGGTTTTCTTTGAAGATGTTTAGTTTCTCATCCAAGAAGCTTCTTCAGAAGTGACAGGTGTTAAAAAGAGGAAGTCTCAGCTGATAGTCATTTGATGAACGCCTGTGCATTGCAACACGGCATTAAGTTCAGAGCTGAATTAATCGGTGTGTGGGAGATAGCCCTGGAGCAGGACAAATTTAGCTCAGCATGATGTACCAATAGAGGAGAATATGTGTAGCTCAAGGTTGAATTGTGGAGTCTTTGGTGCTCTCTGAGTTTGGTTGTTGGCTTCCAGATGTTTTAGAACCCAACTAGGTAGCATCATCAGCGTTTAGGTAGACTTCATCTTTCCGAGAAGGGTCTTGCTATGTCGTGTGACCATAGTTCAAACTATCTCTGTTTGTTTATGTTTATGTGTCAATAAAATGGTCTTCTTAAATCTTAGGAAGGAAGAGATGACAGGCTACTATCCTTCGATGTATCTGCAGAAAGCAGGAGAGGAAAACGTGACCGAGAACAGTCAGCTGAGGAATAAGGCAGCACCACCACGAAGGTACAGCTGGGTTCTCTGGAAGTTTGTTTGTTTGTTTTGAAGTGTTGAATTAAGACTGGTGAAACCAAACTTCAAGTCCATCCTCAGCCTTGGAAACTCACTGGGGGATTTTGGGCAGACCTAATGTCAGCCCAGCCTACTTCACAGGTTCATGTGGGGACAAAATGGAGAGAGTTCTCTTTAGCATCAGTTTGGAGCCCCTAGACGTAAATGTAAATTGAGAATTTGTTTACTTTGGCCATTGGCCATAAGTAGACATTGTCAGGCACCTGCCAAGACTAATCTCTGAATCAGGGGCTCAGATAAATGCTGGTTACTTCAGCAGGCAGTAAGCAAAATTCATATTTTCTCAGGACAAAGAAAAGACGAGGTTTTAAGCCTGGGAAATTAGCCAATTGCATAAAAATCCGTAATCCGTAAAAAACTGGGAAGAAGAGATTGAAGAATCTTTCTCTCAATGCAAGATCCAGATTAAATCATCCCCAGCCAATGGAACCAATGGGGATTTTACAGGAAAATATGCGGGAATTACTCTGCTTGAAAACAATGAGAATTTTAGTCCATACAACAAGGAAAATGCCAGGTTGGAGAAACCTGGCTTAGCAAACTCTAGGATTGTTATTCATGTGCGCATAGTTTCATTGATGATTTTCTTTTCCTTTGGATGACTGGGCAGGTCTAGCATCGGCAACATCAAAAGCATCCATAATCAAAGTCGCAAGCAGATCAGCCAGGAGACGTATAGGCGGAACAGCGTGAAATACATACAAAGCAGAAAGAAGCTGAAGAACAAAATCTTGACAAAACCCAGTATTATCGGTAAGTGTGGGGACCTTTGGAAAAAATGTCCTTCCAAAATCCCTAATGTGGTTTGTAAGGTCCCAGATGTTTCCCCGAGCCACTGGAGGAATGGGAAGAAGAGGGGAAGGGTAAAGGGGAGGAAGGGGAAGGAGAGAAGGGAAAGGAGAGGAGGAAGGAAGGAAGGANGAATCTAGTTGCCGGAGTCCTAACTTGCTTGGAGGACATCTCATTGAAGGCCTCCTGCAGCTGAATGTGGGAAGGGCATTCATCCATGCCAGCTTTCCAATTGTGGAAAGGTGGCCCCACTTACTGTTTGTTGAGGAGATGTTTTTACAACGGAGCCTCAATCCAATGTTCATCTGACCGAATGCTATGAATGCTCCTTCTTTCCAATTTTTGGGCAATTCAAGAGCTTGGCGTTCAGTCTGAAATGGGCCTTGAGCTTCCCAGATTAAAGTTGTGTGAATCCAGCCTAATTGTCCCAAAAGTGCTTTTTCCAAAAGGCAAGGGGACTTTCTTGGGGTATTTTTCCCCTTTGAAAAAGCTTCACTTCTGAAGAACTGAAGAAGTTTCTTGGATGAGAACCAAGATATTTTCAAACAACAACAACAACAAACCCCAAGAAAGTCCAGTTCCCCCTTCAGAAAAAGCACCTTTGGGACAACCATGACCTAGTTGATTGAAATTCTCCACAGACCTAAATCCAGTCTAATTGTTTTAAGAGCCAAGAATCCCTTGTCTGCATTGATGAATCTGTCAAAATCAATTTTCTCCAGTTTGGTTTCTCTTCAGTTTCTCTTCACGTTTTTTGAGTTCTTCCTCCCTCCCATGCATGAAGTCATTTGTGAATGTGGTTGGAGTGCTTCATGGCGAAACTCGTGAGCGTCGTCTTTCGTCTTTAGTCATAACTCAGAGGCACAGGGATGCCTGGTGTGCAGAAGTTCTAGGTTAATTCCGAGGTAGACTGGGAAAAACCCTTGATAGAAATTTTGCAGGGCAGTCGTTGATTTCCATACCTTTGACAGCACATGAAGACAGAACTGTAATTGTCCAATGTCCACACATTATTGTACTTTCAGTGTGATCAGGGGTGGGTTGCTGCTGGTCTTACCACCAGTTCACAACCCGCCCGTGTGCCAGATGCACGCTCCGTGTGTGTATGTGCTGTTCAGTGTAAATTGTTCTTCGCGCATGTGAAGAACAATTTACAGTGAACTGCACATGCGCAGTCACTAAAAAAACAAAATGGTGGCAACCCAGCAGTGGCAAAGGAACCAGTTCAGGGGGGTGGCAGGCCTGGATCGCTGCCGGTTCTGTGACCCAGGCCTGAATTCCACTACCGGGCTGAACTGGCAGCAACCCATCTCTGAGTGTGATGCTTAAAAGGCAAGTCTCATTCAAAACAGAATAAATACCCAGACAGAGCCCCAAAGAGGCCCTTAGCAATAGCAGTTAGACTTATATACCGCTTCATAGGGCTTTCAGCCCTCTCTAAGCGGTTTACAGAGTCAACATATCGCCCCCACAGTCTGGGTNAATCCCCATTTCCTCCCAATCAGCTGGGACTCGGGAGGCAGAAAATAGATGGGGATGGGGCCAGTCAGAGGTGGTATTTACCGATTCTCCGAACTACTCAACATTTCCGCTACCGATTCTCCAGAATTGGTCAGAACTTGCTGAATACTATCTGTGGTTCGGACCTTTGGCTCAGTGAAAGAAGACCTCCACTTTTTGGTTATTCATTTCAGGATGGTGGTTTTGTCAGCAAAAGAATAAACGAGGTTGGGTACCAGCTGCTTATCTAGAACCAATGGATAGTCCAGATGAAGCTGAAGACCAGGAACCCAACTATGCAGGTAAATAAACTTTACTCTTGGATTTGAAGTGGTCCTCAGTCTAAGGACCATGCAAGCCCCAGTTTAGCTTTAGAAAGTAGAAGTAGTCCTCAGCTTATGACCATAAATAAGACTGGAGAGTCTGTTGCTAAATGAACGGTTATTGAGTCAGATCTGATTTGATGACCTGTTTTACCACGGACATTATGTGATTTCCTATGGTTGTTAAGTGAATCACACAGTTGTTAAAATGAATCTGGCTTCTCCTCTTGGCTTTGTGAAAGTCACAAAGGGCAGTCATGTGATTTTGAGATGCCGCAACCATGATAAATACATGCTGGTTGCCCAGCACCCAAATTTTGATCATGTGACTGAGTTTGTTTCATTTCTAATTTGACTTCGTCCTTCTTTTGGCTTTTACGCTTTGGATGCATAAGCAGGTTTCCACCCTCCACAGTCCAATCTATAAAATGGGTAGCTGAGGGAAATCAAAATTTAAAACATGAATGAAAGCAATTAAATGTTTTGGGACACCTGATATCAGTTTCAATTCAGAATCACTTCTTGTGAGATAACCATATAAATTTGATCAATCAATCAAATAAACTCTCTTCTCGCAAGGTGAGCTCTACGTTGTCCGAAAAGGTTACACAGCCGCTCAGGAAGATGAGATTTCCATGAAGGAAGGAGAAACCGTAGAAGTTATCCATAAACTGCTTGATGGTTGGTGGGTAGTCAGGTAAGGCTTCAGCCATTCATTATTCAATATCTTAGTACAGTGTTTCCCAATCTTGGCAACTTGAAGATGTCTGGACTTCAACTCCCAGAATTCCCCAGCCAGCGAATGCTGGCTGGGGAATTCTGGGAGTTGAA